TCCAGATAAGGGAAAATCTGTAAATATGGAAAGTACATTTGTGCTTGTCTGAGGCTCAGGTCAGAATTTGACCCTTTATAAACAGGGATGTGTTTTCTTTTGAGGGTAATTGAAATGTTATACAATGATGGATACACAATCCTGTGGCTATTCAAAAACTTTCTAAAACATGTAAATTTAAAATTAGTAGTATAAAGAATTCTATAAAAAATACATTTTCAATTTTACATGAAATATTAGAACCATAAGAATAGAATTTAATAAGAGTAAGGAGAGGAGAAATACAACAATTTTTCAAAAAATTATGAATAGACCTATAAATATGTGTTTTATCCTAAAAGGATATGTGAACTTTATGTTGAATAGTATCATTGTATAGATAATTATTAAGTATCTACGTTAACAAGTAAACTTTTATAAGAAAAATCTTTATAGATACCAATAGGTCACCTGAAAATATATGAGCCATTCTGTCACTGTCACTGTCCTCCCTTTGTTCATTGATTTGCTCTAGCGGACCCAGTAACGTCTCCATTGGAGACTTTGTTGTTACTGTGTCTGGCATATCGAATAAGTCACGGGGAGCTTGCCAGGCTCTGCCCTACGGGCAAGATACTCTCGGTAGCTTGCCGGGCTCTCCGAGAGGGGCGGAGGAATCGAACTCGGGTCGGCCATGTTGGCTACGTGCAAGGCAAACGCCCTACTGCTGTGCTACCGCTCCAGTCATTCAGTATAAATAAAATGATAATTCATTATTAAATGGGTATAAAATCTCTTAGCAAGCAAAGAGTAAACAAACTCTTCTTAATCGAGTAGAAGTCAACCATAAGCATCATAAGTCATTGCCACACTCGTGCCAAAATATTGAGAAATGTGTCTGATCTTTTAAAGAAGCACTTTAATGTCTCAAGTAAAACTGGTTCAAGGTTCTAAATTCCACAAAATGTTGCCTGCCCGTGAAATTCTGCATTATTTCCTCAAATCTGAATTATAACCTAGCTGGTAGTGTATCCTCTGTGAGGTGTTAATTTCATTACATTTTTATATCCGGTTGTTTTTGTTGTTGTTGTTTCATTATATCTCATTAACTTCTGCCTCTGAGTCTGATTTGGTACACCTGCTACTAATCATATGGGCTTTCCTTTGCATGTAAGATTCTTTTTTATAACATTGCTGCTCTCCATATTGTGTCTCTGTCTCTGGCTTTTGCAATTCTGATTATAATGCTTCATGGATCTTTCCCATTTTCCATTTTTGCTTTGAGCCATTTGGATACGGTACCTGTACTCCTCAATTCTGGAAAATGCCTATCTCTTATTTCTTAACTAGTGATTCTTCGTTGAATTTGCTTTTCTATTCTTTGGTGACTCCAGTGATCCTTGTATTGTTCCTGCTACGTCCATCCCATAGTTCTCTGGTGTGCTGTTTATTTCTTTTCCGATATTTTCCCATCTTCTGCTGTTTCTTGGGGGTTTTCTGCAGCTTACCTTGTTATTCTCAGCTGCTGTTATTCTCCTGCTCTTACCTTTCATTGTGAATTTTTCATATCACCTACTATATTCTTCATTTGTTTCTGTTCTTTCGTTTGTTTGTTTGTTTGTTTTCATTTGGGCTTCTATATTTTCTTGTGCTTTGCTGACTACCTGTGCCATCCTCTGAGCTCATTCAAGTGTCACGGAAGTCACTCTCTAGTTTCCCGAGCGGGTTGTTCCTGGCCTTCCATGTTATGATTTTCTCTCATTGAATTAGGTGGGCTGTTACATAGTTTCCCCATTGTCTGCAGTGTGCCTGCTTTGCTGAGGGGGAATCTTTGTGCTTAGCTCTCCTGGGAATCTCTAAGGGATTACGCTGACTTTATTGCTCCTTTCCCTCCACGTCCATCCTCATTCAGTGACAAGAGGTATAAGTATAAGTTGTGAGCAGAATAAAATGTGAAGAGTAGAGACAGCTGTTACAGTGATTGCAGTATGAGTGTGGAGTGTGGCTGTGGTCCTGGAAGGTTGAATGGACAGGCTGAAAGTCTGGGATGTGGAAGTGCATCTATGAACTGGTGGAGGGTGAGCAAAGAGGCAGCCAGTACCTAGCAAAAAATGAGGGAATATGCTGCTGCTTCCCAAAGGACCCTAACGATGTCAGCTGGGAGGGTGACCCGCTTAAAAGGGTGGAGAAGCTAGCAGAGGGCTTCAGATGTGCACATGACCCTGCTGAGGTGGCAGAGGGTGAGCGTCGGCATTGATGACATCTAGGTAATGTTACGTAATATTTATCTTTTTGAGACATCATATATTGATATGTCAGCCTGGAGGTAAAATTAGCAAATGTCTCATTGTCCGTTAGCCTGTATTTCAATATAAATAACAAGAAATTATGTTGACAAAAGTATGCAAGTTTAATTCTTTGAATTAAGTTTATTTAATTATTGCTCAAGCTAACCCTCTGCTTAAAACATGCTTAAAAAATATAGTGCTTTAAACTTGATTATAAAAGAATCTAAAGTTAGGTGGTCTAAATAAAATATGGTACCATCTGTATCAACAACCTGTTTTTATTTCTGGGTCTAAGTCTCTACTGTCACTTTTTCTTAGCCAAAGAGGAGGAGAAAATGCCCAAGGGGAACTTTTTTCCAATGCTTTAATTAACAAGACCTAGAAATGTCATAATTCACCTCTGTTCACATCCTCATGGACATTACTTAAACTCATGGGTACAGCTAACTCTAAGTGGAGCTAGAATTACCATCTTGATTTTTGAATGGAGCTACTGGCTAATCCTCACCATCACCAACAAAAGTGTTGAATTGTACTTGATTTTTCTCTTTATTTATTTTTCATATTTGTACATCCCTGCAAGTACAGGTTTACATATGTCAGAGTTTGTGTTTTAATTCTATAATATTTATTTCCTTAATACAATTTTGTAGAGAATTTTTACATGTATTCCTATATGCTAGGCCTCTATAACTTTCTGAACTTACCATTAGACCATACAAATTGTTAGAAAGCATGACCTTGGCATTACAGCTGGAATATACTGATTCACTGGTAATGCATAGAATAAAATGAATATTATTTTGTTCTGTAGCTTTTCAATGTTAATATAAGAATTTCATTTTAGACATATTTTAATATGATCATTTGTAATTTTTCAAATTATCTTTCATGCGTCCATGTCATTATTTAAATATTGGAATTCCATTTTTTAGCTTGAAACACCCTAATATCTAATTCAGCATTAGAGCTTTCTGGGGAAACAGGCATGTTCTAGAACTGCTCTGTCCAATATGACAAGTACTGAAGATTTGGGCACGTCTATGCTGATTAGTGTGATGAGGGAACTGAAATTTCAATTTTATCTTACTTCATTGACTTAAAATTTAAATAAGCCCAGGCAGTCAGTAGTTGCCAAATTAAAGTGTAGTCAGTCACTGCTTGCTCATTTATGAGCTTAGTTCTGCCACACCTATTTTATTGCATAAAATAATTGTATAAAATTTAATTTCTCCTGAAGTGTTCTTAGATGAATAATTCTACTAAAGGAAATTATTTGCAGCTGCTTTATCGTTTGAGTGAGAAATGGTGTATTTGCAGTGATTTAATCTATCTTTTAATAGTTTGATAATAGCCATTTAGTATCACTGAAGACAATATGTGCCAGCCATTGTTATAAACATGTTACATATAATATGTAATATCATTATTATAAAAAGTTTATATCACAGTGAAACTTTCATCATGACTATCATCACTGTATTTTTTTTATTTATAGTTTGGGGGCCATACCCAGCTATGTTCAGGACTTATTCCTGTCTCTGCACTCAGTGGTTACTTCTGGCAGTGCTCAGGGGACCATATGTGGTATTGGGAATCACACCCAGGTTGACCACATGCAAGGCAAGCATTTGACTTGCTGTCCTAACTCTCTGACTTCTCACCATTTATTGATGTTTAAATGGACACGCCACATAATTATTAATTTTTGCCTAAGATCAAATAACCAGTAAGCATCTGAAATATGACATAGCTCTTAGGCAAAATGACCTCATATTCTAGGTTCCACTCCATTCCCTTTCCTCATTCCACAGAGTAAGATCTTTTATCAGTATTGTTCTTTATTCAAATGCATCTGTTTGGGGTCCAAGAGCTTCGTTTGTGTATGCATAGTATCAAAGACCATTGCCTCCGGCAAGTGGTAAGAGAAAACACAGTTTCTCTTTCTTCTCTGTCCAATCACAACTCAGCAGCAGTTATGCTTATAAAAAAATAATAAAATAATAAAAATAAATTCAAAATATTCCCTAGATTATCCTTTTAAATCTGGCACTGAAAGATTATTTTATGAATCAGGCACGGAGAATTTATCAGAGGCACACTATTTAAAATAGCAAACGGACATCATAATGAGCATTTGCCGTATGTTTGCACATATTGCTACAAAGGATTATTCCAATTTCCTCTCTACGATGCTAACTGAAAGAATTTTTAATAGTCAAAATTGATTATTTTCAAAAGTATATTATATCTATTTAACTCAGGTCAATCAGCTACAAGTTAAAAGTACTTAGAAGCATGCTGCCCATAATTAAGTAACCTTATCTGCTAATATTACAGAGTAAGGATACCTTTAGGTGACATAAAATCTGTCATTTTAAGTATGTCCCAAGTCTTTTTCAGATTGCTCATTTCTCATTCTCTAGAGAAATGTGATCTCTAAAAAATAAATGTCTCTGTCAAGTCACAAGTAATATGAGCACATGATGAAAAAATGGAATTTTTGAGTCTCATAAGGGATATTGCAGTATTGTAAAATTGATTTTACTCCTTGTTACTTAAGTTCTATGGTCATTTCAGGATTTTACCTTCTAGATGTAAAGGGAAGATTATAATACCTTTCAGCAGGGGGGAAAGAGGCTTTGGGGACCAAGAAAATATTTTTCATATGAAATTCTTTGTCATAAAATGCTAATGTTGGTGTTCTTGTCTTTATGTCTATGCATTCTTTAGCTATGAGGATAACAGACCCTTCATCAAGTAAGAATGACCTGAATGGCTGATAAATTCCATTTATCAGTGTGGTCCCATGAACCAGCTGTCAGATCAGTACTGAAAAATCATTAGAACTTCTGTCATTCACGTTGAGGCAGAAGAGCAAACTGTGCAGGAAAATAATCAGGCATACAGCTGAAATGCAGCATAAATACACTCAAGTGTAATAACCCTCCCCCAAAATCTGCTTCACCTCTTTTAATTGGATCACCTGAATTCAGTGCCACAGTAATAGCAACTTCATGTGGTACAGACTTGTTTTGCTTTTAATAGCTTTCTCTTTTCATTGTGATATGTTTCTCTCTGCTGCATATGTCTTCATTTCTCTTGTTTGTTTGGACATCATTCATCCAAAATCATTTTGCGACTTAGAAGTACGTTCAATATGATCTTGTGGAAATGAAAGTACCCAATTGATATAAATGGATTTCTGTTAAATATCCAAAAAAAGTGAAAATGCCTTCTTCAATAATTAAAGTTTGTATATGCAAAATGACCTTTCCAATTTGACACCTGTCTGTTGATTATCTATTTCTTTACTAATATGTCTTTTTAAGTTCTGAAATAAAGCTACAAGTCTGTACTGATTTAATAAAAATAAATGAAGATATTTAGATTTCAGACTTTTCCCATATGCTTTAAAATTACATGTCCCACAACAATAAATTCAAGATTAGAAACATGTGGGTGACCTTGCTATATAGATTTTCAGTTTGTTCTTCTGGTGAAGAGTCCTTTGTTTTCATTTTCTCCAGTGCCATTCACTTATTTCTTCATGCTCTTGCTTTCTTTTTATGTCAGAAATTGGGCTCATTGCAGCATTCACTCTTCAGTCCACCATGTGTTTTACAGTGGATGATAGCTGACTTGAGTATTCATTTTATGTCTAAACATAAAAATAGCAATTTCGCCTTGATTTTAGGGCAGTTTTTCCCATTTTTCCTTTTTCCAATGTCTTTAAGAGCTGAAATACTATACTTTAATGAACTAACTAATATTTCCAAGTCTAATTATAGAATAAAATAAGTGTGCAGGACATTCTTAAATTGTGTAAGCAAAAATGCCACATGCAAATACAATTCTCCTTTAGAGAACTTTATTCAAGAATATTAATATATAACATAATAAAATAATTTCATATAATACTTTAAGGATATAACATTTAGAAGATAATTAAATCTGAAATGTAGTTGCTGATTGTTGTAGAAAATAGTAAATATTTAAGATTAGTTTAATAAGACTTTAATCATAACTGACAACTTTGTGGCCACATACATTTTGAAGATGCTGTTCATTATGGTTACTTTATTAGTCCCAGATTTATATTATGATAAATACAAATCATGTCCATAGTTTTCCGTTTCAATTCCAAAACCTATTTATACATTGGACAATATAAGTGGAGGAATAATAGTCTGCTAAAATAAAGTTTTTGCTGTTTAAGAGAGGTGTGCTGGTAAAGGAACGAGGCAGGTGCATGATTTGTATAGGTACATAGTATGGCATAGTCCTATTCTTCCACATATTTACAAAGGAATGGAATAAGATTCCTTTTCCTATTACTGGATGCCCGTCTATTGAAAAGATTAATTTTATATGAATAGTAAGTGCATAACACATAATCACCAATGCATGTACTTCTGTTACCTGTTTGTTAATTACTCTCATGAGTGGCAGCTTGGAGGAAACAAAGAGAATGGAGTCAAGTGAGAATTTGTCTTCCATTCTAGATTACTTGGTTCATTCTACTCCATCCCCATTCTCAGCTTCATTTTCCCCTTCAGTTAACAGACAATTCAAAGAGATGAAGGCGCCTTGAGCCTTTTAACTTTTCAACAAAGCTGCCAATTGTCTGATATCCAAGTCTAGTCCAATGTGACCAATTTGAAACCTAACGGTTGTAGAAGAAAAACTTTGATCTAGAGTAGAATAATTTTCTCAAACCATTCTATCTCACCTTTTTTAGATTAAAAGTTCTTATATACAATCAAAAGCTGGATCATTCTAATGAGTCATTTTGTCAGTAACTACTAAAGATTTTAAGGAAAAAAGTGGAAATTTGGAAAAATGGGGTAAATGTATGTCAGATGAAAGGAGAGAGTCCAGTCAACCAAATATTGTCATATCAATGAGACCAGTGGAATCTAACAGCTTTCTAGACTTTCCCCAACCTTGCCATTCACCATAATTGCATTTCCATATCATTTACATACATGCTACAAAAACTTGTGTAGCTAAATAGCACAACTCTTCTTTTGCTTAAATTGTGTTCATGGCATTTTCATTCATGTTTATCTCCTCAAGCTTGAAAACTTGCAGTGTTCATTGAAATCTAAAAGTACTTACACCACCCGTCTTACGTTTTCTGTCTAAAAACTTACCATAACAATTTTTTCAGTGTTGCTATTGTTGAGATATTATTGCATTAGGTAAAAAGCAGTCATTGATAATCCTTTATTTTTTCTATTCTCTCTACAGGTCATGGGTTATAGGTGCAATAGCTCTTCTCTGCCTATTAGGATTGACCTGGGCCTTTGGACTCATGTATATTAATGAAAGCACAGTCATCATGGCGTATCTTTTCACCATTTTCAATTCTCTACAGGGAATGTTTATATTCATTTTCCATTGTGTCCTACAGAAAAAGGTAAGATCTTTGTTCAAAATTAAGTGGTATGCATTTCATGATAACAATTCAAGCAATATCCATTTTAATATGATATGCCTGTGTATTTATCTCTAAAAAATAAATTTCCTGATTTTTAATAATAAATGAGACAAATGCCAAATAGAAGCATAAAAGTTGGCGAGTTTAACAGCAAAACCAAAATTAGCATGCTATGAGTGGAACAATGCACCAAAGTTATGGAGCTTACTATTTTTATTGTAATATATGTAAAATTGTATGTTAGGAAGTAACTTTTCTAAGATGTTATAGAGGTGTGTGTGATTGTATTTGTGTGACATGCAGAGGGAATATCTGTTTTCTCTCTAAGTATAAACTAGTTTAAAAACTGGAGAGTCCAGGGAGATACCATAAGTGCCAATCCTGGCTTTGATCCTGGCACTCCATGATCTCTAGCATTCTTTGATGTAGACCATCTCTAGAGGCAGCCCATTTGATCAATGCTGCTTGGAGGCCCCCAAGCACCACTCACATGTCCTTGGTGGTCTCTGATACCACAGGGTCTAAGCATCAAAAGTCCTGTCTAACCCCGGCATTGCCCCCGGACCTCCTTAGCACTACTTGAAAACCCCTCTCTCCCAAAAATAAGAATGTAATTGTTCAAACTTTTCTTGAAAAAAAAAGTTGTATTAATGAATGAGTACTCAGTAAATGACTATCATCTTAGAAACATCTTTTATAAAATATTTGCGTTAGATGATTAGAACACAATCTATTTTTAATACGGTCACGGTCCTCCCGTTGTTCATTGATTTGCTCAAGCGGACCCAGTAACATCTCCATCATGAGACTTGTTGTTACTGTGTTTGGCATATCAAATACATCATGGGCAGCTTGCCAGACTCTGCCGTGCAGGCGAGATACTCTCGGTAGCTTGCCGGGCTCTCCGAGAGGGGCAGAGGAATCAAACTCGGGTCAGCCATGTTGACTGCTTGTAAGGCAAAGGACCTACCACTGTGCTATCAAAAACAAAATTTTATTTTTTATAATTGTTTACATCTACAAGTACCTAATTTTTTGTAATTTTAGGTAGCATGGTTTACAGAAATCTGCATAAAATATTCCAGCACCCTCCAACAAAGTGTCTACTTCCCTCCCTCATTGTTCCAATGTTCCCACCCACCCCGCCTACCCCTGTGGTAAACCTTCTACTGAATACCAGTTCTTAGAGCAGTTACCTTTCCCCTATTGTGTTTATTTCTATACCTTATATGAGATAGATCATTTTGTATATGTCCTCTCCCTTTGACTAACTTGATTCAGCATGATACTCTGAAGATGTATATGTATCATTAAATTTCATGATTTTACCTTTACTTACAGCCAATTAGTACCCTATTGTTTATATGTATCATAGCTTCTTTATACAGTTATCTGTTCTTGTACATGGATTTACCCCTGACATACATTTACCCCATTTTTCCAAATTTCCACTTTTTTTTTCTTAAAATCTTCAGTAGTTACTGAGAAAATGTCTCATTAGAATGATCCAACTTTTGATTGCACATATGAATTTTTAATCTAAACAAATGTGAGATAGAATGGTTTGAGAAAATTATTCACAATAGCCAAGCTCTGGAAATGTCCAGATTATTGGACATTATTGTATAATGTATAATTCACATTTATTATTGTGAATAATACTACAAAAACATGTGTATGAAAGCCTTTTTCTTTTCTATTCTTGGGGGGTTCACACCCGGCAATGCACAGGGGTTACTCCTGGCTCAGCATTCAGGAGTTAACTCCAGGCGATGCTCAGGGGACCATATGGGATGCTGAGAATCAAACCTGGGTCAGCCATGTGCAAGGCAAATGCCCTACCCACTCTGCTATCTCTCCAGCACCCAGAATGCCTTTTTCTTAAAGGAGATTTTTGATTTTCTGATTGTATACCATTTGACCATATTTAAAATGTGGTCTCTGCGAATTCCAGATGAACTTGTTCATATGCAGAGTATAAAGGAAAAAATGAAATAGGCAATCCTGATGAAAACAAACTTCAAGACTTACCAGTAGAACTATGAATTGAAAAGTCTAAAGTTTCAGAAGGAAAGGGACGTGAGACATTGTCAGGGATCTTGACACACCAGAAGCAGGATTCGTGTAGCAGCACTGCAAATAATTCACTGCTATTATAAACTATAATACCTCAATATAAATTAATGTGTTAAAAATGAAATGAATGCCTCTATACTAAAGGAAATATGCAAAGGAGAGAATAAGAATTAGGAAAAATAAATATCACCTCAAATATTAAATAATTAAATAAAATTAAATTTCTTCTTTGTAGCTGTTAAATAGACCTCTGTTCCAAATTATTTAGATCTGAGTCTTACTTCTCTCATTTGAAATATATAACTATGATTTGGAGCAATAGCACAGCGGGTAGAGTTCCTATTTTGCACACCAGTGATGTGAGTTAGATTCCTGGCATCCCATATGGTCCCTGAACCTTTCCAGGTGTGATTCCTGCACACAGAGCAAAAAGTCAGTTGTAAGCAATACTGGGTGTGGTCCAAAAACAGAAGAAAAATTCTTTTGTGAGGTTAATGAACTATGACAAAATTAATTAACCTCACAATGACCAGTTCCTTTGGATATAATGTGGAGATAAAAAAGTTATGAGTTATTATGAATGCCTTTAAAAATGAAATGGCAAAATGTGGAGAAAACTTCCAAAATGTGAATAACAAAACCTAAAAGTTTTACTTCCAAAAAACAAAGAAAACCATGACTGAAGGTGTTCAGATGTTTGAAAAACTGAAGGGATCTAAAACAAAAGTTGGAAAAAAAATCTTCCCACTTGTCAAGAAAAATCTAATTTTGCATTATTTTGTTTTGTAATTGTCGGTATTAAAAACACATAAATTTGATTATAAATTCAGGCTCAGATAATAATGACTAAGTAGACCTATGAGTAGATTATAATTGGAAAAAGTTTATGTTAGAGTGGGTGGGTTAGAATCTACTAGGTCTAAATTTATTTTGAATTAAGTCTTTTTAGAGTGATCTTCCCAAATACTTAGAGTCTATACCATCTAAATTGCTGTAGTTTATTCCATCACATTTTCACTTTTCTACTCATAACCCAAATAGTGGGGATTCCCGTAGAAAGAAGCTGGATTGATGAAGGCTAAACCAACCTCAATATAAAATTCTCACATTCACTTTGAGTGTTGGCATCCAGAAATATCTCAAATTTCTTTTTGACAAATAAAAAGAATCTTGTTTCAAGGGGTCTGAAAAGACTTCTTACTTTCCACAAGAAAGAATGTGAATAACATTTTATGAGTGTAATAGGAGGTACATTTTATTAATTATAGTTTGGCTCCCATGTTTACAATGCATTAGTATTCATGGTTTTGATATTTATGGCAACCACACCCAACCCCCACCAAAGTGTCCAAAACCCTCTACCAGTTTTCTCCTATTACTTCTATCCCACCTCATATTTCTCCTCAACTATTCCCCACTTACTTTGGGTTTCCATTTTATAATCCAGGGTCACAGGTTGTCATAATTCGGTACTGTCTAATCTTGTTTTGTTGAGTGAGACCATCAGGTATTGTCCTCCTTCTGTTATACTTAGCTTAAGATGATGTCCTCCAGCCCCATCCAAGTTGCAGAAAACTGCAAGATTCTGTCCACCCTTATGGCTACATAATATTCCATTTTGTATATAAATCACATCGTTATTCATTCATCTGTTGTTGGCCATTTTTTCCCCTAATATCCTGGCTATTGTCCTAAATACGGTAGCACAGTAACACTGTCCTCCCGTTGTTTATCAGTTTGCTCGAGGAGACACCGGTAATGTCTCACAACAAATTATGAGACTTGTTGTTACTGTTTTTAGCATATCAACAACAATGAAAAATTAAAAAAGAAAGATTACCCTCTTTAAAAAATTAATTTGCATATTTACTTTACTTATTCAGATTCCTTTGTGTCATGCTTATTGTAGATTTAATCTTACTTATTTATCTCACTTATAAGTTGCTTGCTATGTAGCCCATCACTTTTACAAAGTGAACACTGACCATCATATCAATTGAAACATCATACAGTGTAGTGGATAATATGCAGTAAAGGTAAGGTAAAGGTAAAGGCCCTCCCGTTGTTCATTGATTTGCTCGAGCAGGCCCAGTAACGTCTCCATTGGAGATTTTGTTGTTACTGTGTTTGGCATATTGAATACATCACGGGTGGCTTGCCAGGCTCTGCCATGTGGGCAAGATACTCTCGGTAGCTTGCCGAGCTCTCCGAGAGGGGCGGAGGAATCAAACTCGGGTCGGCCATGTTCGCTGTGTGCAAAGCAAACGCCCTACCGCTGTGCTATCGATGCAGTATCACTTTTATTTTATAATTAGCTAGAAATTTGTAATAATATACTTAAAAACTTAATATAGAAAAATTCCATACAGTAAAAAAATTATTTGTTATACCCTTTAAATTTTTTATTTGGTTGTATTTTAAATTACCTAATACCTACAAGTTTTCTTTAATATTATTTTTCACACAACATGGCAATGGATTAACTAGGAATTGTACTTAGTATTCAGAGGAAATTCGAACCTTAGTATGTGAAACAAGTCCATTGTCTTCAGCATATTGGAAAAATTTGATACAAGTGAAAATTTTTAAAAATATGTCATCATCAAGCTTAGTTTGGTGGATCATTAGAACAAAGTTCAGCAAACTGCAGCTTCTTGGCCAGATTTTTCCAACTGTCTTTAATTTCTATAGCCAGTCAGCCAAGAACTTTTTTTTAAAATGGCTACTTTAAAAATATCAAATGTGTACATGTACAATGTCCTTGGCTTTGCCTCTTGGATCATAAAAAATAAAATATTGAGTATCTGGCACTTTATGAAAAAAATTGCAAAGCTTTGATAAAAGCTTATATTCATGATTTGTAAAAATAAGTAATAAACGTACATCTTTAAAATTCAGTCTCT